AACTGGCTTAAGTAGCGATCTCTGTAATGGAGATCCAAGCAATTTTGCATCGGAAAAAAGTTTGCATCAAACTTTCCATTAACAAGTCACATTGGTAGTAAGTAAATAAAACCAAATTGGTTTCTGGAAACTCGTAAAAAAAAAAATTTTGAGAGCTCTCAATAATCAAAGGTGCAAAAGGCCTCTTTTCGACTCCTTCCGAGATCGAAAATGCCAAAACTTGACAAGCTTGCTCCTCGAAACGCAGTGCATGCAGCAAAAAATCGTTTCCACTCGTTAATTATGTAGTATCTAAGAAGTTTGGAAAGCGTTTCAATTTTGATATGTGCATATTCAGCGGTTCGCCATAACTTATTTAAAAAGACCTTTCGGACAGCTTTCTTAAATCGGTCAAAAGCAGTCTTTCTTTCCTGGGTGATATTTCCTAAGTCCAGACTAGATCGTTAAACACTCTAGTTGATTTCTTCCAATCACACGTTCGAAAGCATAAAAAATAGTCTTAAGTAAGTCGCTCAACTCTTCACGTCAACCACCTTCTCTTTTATTGCTTCAACGGCTTTCTTTCTAGTCAACCTGGTCTTTTCACTATTCAAAGCTAAAACAATTCTTAGAAGCCTATTCACCCATTCGGCTGATCTCTTTCCCTCTGAAGTTCATCTCTGGACTATATTGGAAAGTGAAGAGACGTTCGTCTAAAGTTCGATAGAATCGTTCAACAATTTCCTGATTCCTCTGAGCGTTCATATTTCCTCTTCTTATCGTTATATTGTCCTTTGCCATCTCTCCTGTGACTTCACCCATGAATTCACCCTCAGGATCAACTTGAAGAACGTAAGGCCATCTCAGTGGTCCACGATTGTAAATGTCTGAAAAGCTCTAAATACCCCAGAGAAATACTTTGAGGTAAGAGGTTCGGCAACCTTAAATGCGCTTGCAACATGAACAACTGTCCATCTATATTTATCTATATAGACTTTCCTCCCTCTAAGGAGCCTTTTATGAGGAAGGAAAAGATTATTTTTTTATGTGTGTTATTACGGCTTTTCCCAGCGATGGAGATCTTTGTATAACACCATGATTTAAATGATAAAAAGCTGAAAGTGACGTAAATTAGCTGTTTTGAGTTTTGTCTCACAGAAAACAACAGTTTTTTTTTGTAGCTAAATGACGCTGTTTTTGCCTTTATCAGGCCAAAAACATTTTTTCGTTCGTTTGTGGCTAAATTACCTGTTTTCAGCTTTTTTGCTCCGAAAATATGTTTATAATGATTTACAGTTAAATTACCCCTTATCTCTTGGAAAACAGCCTTTCTGCCTGTTTGTTGCTAAATTACGTTGCTTTGAGCATTTTGGCACCGAAAACATGTTTTCGTTCGCTTGCGGTTTAACTTAGTTAGATATGCATTTTTGTGCAGTTAAATTATGTAAGCTAGATTGACCATTTTAACTGTTTCAACAAATTAAGATAAAATTTCCAATTTTTGCAGTTTAACTGTTTTCCCTAGGTTGAGTAATTAACTCGTTAACGAATTGAACTATCTTGATTATCTCAACTTCTTTAACCAATTAAGCTATATTATGCAGTTTGTGCACTTCAACCATTTAAGCTTGTTATGCATTTTCTCTGGTTGACTATTTAAAAGATTTAACTAATCAAGGTAGATTGTTCAATTTGAGCGGTCCAACTGTTTTCGCTAGTTTAACTATTGAACCAATTAAACTAACTTGACCAGTTAAGTTAGATTAAGCAGATTTGGCAGTTGAACCATTTAAATAAGTTATGTAATTTTTGAGGTTAAACTATCTAAACTACTTTGACCATTGGAACTATTTACCAATGGATATAGATTGAGCACTTGGTGTGGTTTAGCCATGTCCTCTAGTTTGACTATATAACCAGTTATACCATATAAACTAGTAAGACTATTCAAACTACTTGAATCTGTTAAGATAAGTTGTGCAGTTTGTGCAATTTAACCAATGACGCTAGTCGTGAATTTTAATCAGTTTAACCAGTTAGGTTAGTTTGACCATTTAAACTACTTTCACCAGTTGAGATAGATCGTAAAATTTGTGTAGTTGAATTGTCTTTGAAATGGTCAAACTGGCTTAATTAACAGCAAAAAATGCATATCTAGCTTAATAATTTCAACTGCACAAAATAGTACGACAGCTTAAACTGCACAATTTAGCTTAAATGAATCAACTGGTTAAATAGTCAAACTAGGGAAAACAGTGAAACTGTACAAATTCCATGATGTATCTCAACTCAAATGATTTTAATTGACGAAATTCAAAGTTAGCTTTATAGGTTTAATAGCACAAAATGCTTAAACTGCTAAATGCTTAAGTGAAAAAATGCATAATTAGCTTAATAAGTTCAACTGGTTTATCTATCTTCATTGCTTTAAGTACTTTGAATGCTCAGACCATCTTAAATGGTTCGACTACACAATATGCTCAACTAACTTAATAGATTGAGTGGAACAAACTGCACAATCAAGCTTAAATGGATCACCTGGTTAAATAGTAAAATTTAGGTTAGGCAGTTATAGTAGGAAAAAATTGCACAATCTTTCTCCACAGGTAAAAGTAGTTAAAATGCTCAAAGTAGCTTGAATGGTTTAGCTGGAAAACAAACTAAATAAGTTTAATTGTTTAAATAGTCAAACTAGCGAGGACAGATTGCACAATCTATCTTAAATAGTTGAAGTAGTTCAAATGGTAATTCTGGTTTCAATTGTCTCACCGGAAAAATACAAAACTAGCTTTAGTGGTTTAACGGCTTAAATGGTCACATTAGCGAGCACAGTTAAACTGCAAAAATGCACAGTTTTAATTAGTACAAACAGTCAATCTAGCTCAAATGTTTTAAATGGAAAAACCCATACGTAGCTTAATACGTTCAATTGCACAAACTTCTCAATTCAGCTTAATTGGTTCAACGGGTTAAATACTCAAATTAGTGAAAACAGTGAAACTGCACAATGCATGTCTCAAATGGTTGAATTAGTTCAAATGGTCAAACTAGCTAATTTAACAGCTAACAAGGTAGTTTAACAGCGAAAAATGCACATCTAACTTAATTTTAGCTGCACAAACTACGCGATGTAGCTTAATTTGTGCGGTTCTTTAACTATTTAAATTAGCGAAAACAGTGAAACTGTACAATTTGCACAATCTATTCTTATTAGTTGTAGTAGTTGAAAATGCTGAAGCTAGCTTGGATGGTTTTACTGTTTAGCTTAAATGTTTCAACTAGACTATATGCACAACTATATGCACAACTAAATTAAGAGGTTCACTTGAACAAATAGCACAATCTTGCTCGAACAGATCAACTGGTTAAATAGTCAAACTAGGCCAGACAGTTAGACTAAAAAAAAATTGCATAATCTATCTTAATTGGTCGAGGTAGTTCAGATGGTCAAACTAGCTTAAATGCTTCAATTCGACAAAATGCAAAACTATCTCAAATAATTTAACAGCTTAAACTCCACGATCTAGCTTTAATGGATCAACTGGTCAAATATGTAAGCTAGGAAAGACAGTTAAACTGCACAAATTGTAGAATCCACCTAAAATGGTTAAACTTCACAACTAGCGTTACAGGTTAAATTACACAGACTGCACAATCTAGCTTCATGGCTCAAATAGTCCGCCGAGGGAGCAAATCACTAAGTGAACAGCAAGGATCGAAATGCACCAATCAGAGCTGTTGAAAAACAACCAATCACAGCAGAGCATCATGCTTTATAAGATCACGCATGACCAGTTGACCTCATCGCCTGAAGAAGACTAGCAGTATGCAGTCGAAACGTCGCGATCTACATCACACGTGACTACATCGTGAGACAAACGAAAAACTTACCTTTTTATTGTTATTCACCACGATGAATAATCACAGCATTTTCCACGAAATTAACGTGATATACGGGCGCACAGTCCTAAGGTTGATTCGTCAACATGAGCGTTGCTCGAGCAAGCTCGCACGCTACACCAACCATCTCACCTTCCTAACTAGGTGCATCGAGAACCACGTTGTTCCTAAAGATCTATGAGTTCGACCGCTTGTTCCCACCAAAGGCGCACACAGAGTCGCTGAACTCGCATCCATGAGATTCCTAAGGGAACGGATCATACTGACACAGAAGGCCAAAGGAGATGCAAAGAATGATACGGAATCTACAGCACAGAGCATAACATCCGCTCTCTCGACAAATGACGCCAACATGATACTAGAGCAGATTAAGACCAACACCCAACGAGTCTTCAACACCACGAGACAGACATAAACAGAAGTTTGAAAAACTTATTCAAGAAAAACAGGCGGCTGTGTCACCGGTTGACACACCGTATGTCGACAAAGCTAACTGGGTTGTTAATTTATCCTCTAGGTCCCTTAGCGATGCCGAGAAAGCCCTACTGAAGAAAGGACTGAACTTCGCCGTAACTCCTGCGAATACTCCTGCCACAGAGATCATCGCCAAGGTCGAAGCAGCCGTAAGACAACTCGACGCCGAACAAGCAGATACTGTCAGAAGAGCTGTTAACAGTATCCTTCAACAGGCGGATCCACGAGAGCCTAACATCACGAAGATGCGAGATGCACTTAAAAACCTGAAAGAAGACGAGTCCATCGTGGTCCTCCCAATGGACAAAGGGCGCGCTCGCGTAGTCGTGGATACCGACACCTACCGTGCCAAGATGTCTACGCTTATTGAGAACGGACCCTACCACTCCTCAACAAAGATCCGACCGTCTGGCCCGCAAGTTGTTCGAAAAGCTGCTCACCTTGAAGCGAAGCGGATATCTATCAGAGGCCGTTAACAACAAGATCCGACCCCGACACAAACAGCCGCCTAGAATCTACGGTTTACTGAAGATCCATAAGGCCGACTTACCGCTAAGACCTATCGTGTCGTGGTAAACACCTTTGCATATGATTTATCCGCTTACTTAGCCAACATCCTGTCTCCTTTAACAGGAAAGTCAGAGTACATGGTGACCAATTCAGTCCACTTCGTATCCACCGTCAGCAATGAGACGATCTTAGACAACGAGATCATGGTATCCTTCGACGTAGAATCGCTGTTTACCAACTTTCCTATCGACGACACTGTACAAGCCGGACTGCAGAAACTCGAGAACGACCCAGGCCTTGCAGACCGCACCACGCTAACGCCTGCACAGATCGCTGACCTTTTGACCTTCGTATTGAGATTCACATACTTTCAGTATAACGGATCGATTTACGAGCAAAAAGACGGCGCCGCCATGGGGAGTCCGGTTTCCGCTGTCATTGCCAATCTCTACATGGAGAATTTCGAAGAACAGGCGATAACTACATCATCCTACGAGCCTAGGATCTGGAAACGTTACGTGGACGAAACCTTTACAATCTTGGATCGCGAAAACGTAGACGACCTCCTACTGCATTTAAACAACCAGCAACCTTCCATCCGCTTCACCGTGGAGACAGAGAAAGACAACGAACTCTACCTATACATCGCAGTTTTAAAAGAACCCGACGGCCGCCTCTCCACCAGCGTATACAGGAAGCTCACGCACCCCTCAATCAGTAAAACGCGGTATTGTTAAGTGCCTTTACGAGCGCGCCAAACGCCTCGTAACAAAACCCTCCGTTATCTCTGAGGAGAAAAAACATCTGTCAACTGTTCTGGTTTCTAATGGCTATCCTTCTTCTTTCTTGCAGAAACTTACCAAGACTGGAAAACCAAATAACAGTGCCGAACCCGCCAACGAGTTAAAAGCCGCTGCGGTTTTACCTTATGTTAAAGGTCTATCCGAACAGCTTCGCCGCTGCCTACAACAACAAGGCGTACGCGCTGTTTTCAAGTCGGAGACTACGCTAAGATCTCAGTTAGTACGACCGAAAGACGCTGTCGACCCGGCTAAACAAGAGGGTGTAGTTTACAGGATTTCCTGTGAATGCGGCAAGGTGTAAATTTGAGAGACTGGAAGACCTATGCAAGACAGAATTAAGGAGCACGATCGAGACATTCGACTCGCCCGTACCGAGACCTCCGCCGTTTCAGAACCTGCCCACAACACCGGACACAAGCCACTGTGGAATAAAATTAAGTTTATTGATCGTGACCCTTATTACTACACGCACAGGGTCAAAGAGGCTATTCATATAAGACTTCACCCTAACAACATCAACAGGGATAGTGGAATAGAAATTCCAGAAGCGTGGATGCCCACGATCAAGAAACACAACAACAGGAGAGCCGTGCGACAGCGGACCGCCGAGGGAGCAAATCACTGAGTGAACAGCAAAGATCGAAATCAGAAGGTGATGTGACTAAGTTTTTGTGGAGTATGTTCTTGTTAACGCATTTCAGAAGTCCAGGGCTAAGCCATGGAGAAAAAAACTTGCTCACCTGTTTACCTTTGAGAACCTTTAAAGGGAAACAGGCAATGTAGATTCTGGAGTATTCTTCACTAAAATTATTATAGGCTTCATCCGGATCTTCCATGTTGTGAAATGAGGACCATCTTGCGTTTCAAAGGTTCTCATTGAATTGATGCAAATTTTCGTCATTGAACGTGCACATCATAATTTTCGCGTTAGAGTTGCGTCGTTAAAACATGCAAAAACGGATAAGTGTTTAGATAAATCAATTAGAATAATGCCATTAAAAACATTATGTACACGGTTGTTGGTGAATATGTTGTGAATTAGAGTCGCAAATTATGAGGTGGGGCATGTTGGATTGGAGATGAGAGGAATAAAGGCATGTGAAAATAAGCTGTCGATAAATTCCTTTGTTGGAACATGATGATTGTATTGGACAAGGTATAGGTTTAAGTCTCCCATCACATAACAATGTTTGTCTTTAGAAGTTAGGGAGAGAAGATTGTTGAATTTTTCAATAAACATAGCATTTTTTGATTTGGTGGTCTGTATACGCAATCGACGATAAAGTTTTTTACGTGGGGAACAATAATTTCCAAGAAAAGTGACTCAATTACATCTGGATCCGAAAATTTGCATTCTTCGAGAAGTTTGTATTCAAGGCCGTTTTGTAAATTAATTTCAACTCTGCCGCCTGTTTACGATTTACGATGGCTGGAGACAAAATGGCATCCTGTGGTATTTATGAACTCACGGAGAAAGGCATGTTAAGATTTCACAGCAACGAATTAAGAGGGTGTCCACGAGAGCACCGGGCAGTCGTGCTACATGCCATCTCACCGATTTCAATGAAACTTTGCCAGCTTATAGGGGGTACCCCAAAACTCAAAAAGACAAACTGGTTTCTGTTTGGGTTTTTTCCGGGGGGGGGAGATAGACCACCCCCGGTTTTTTACTTGGTTTTCACTAGAGAAATCGCTTTAAATAAGATAAAATGTATGAAGCTCTCACGGCGATGGTACTTAGCCAATTACTCTGAGGGTTTGCGCACATAGTCTTACATCCTAAATTAATGTCCAACATAAGGATCAGCAAATTTGATTGACGGTTTGCCAATTAACAGAGGCAAATGAACGAATGTGTTTTAAGAAATTTTGATTCATACAAATATTTGACAACTTTGAGGTCAAATATCTCCCCTTGTGTTACGGGAAAATTTACTCATTTTCCCGTGTGTGTTATTCGGAACATATTTATTCGTAAACTTTCAATTTAACCATTTCAAGTCCTTACATTTTAATTAATTAAAAAAAAAAACAGTAGCTTTTAGAATAGATTTTGCATGTTACTCGCTTTCATTATGCATCTGCATGTCGGAACTTTTGTTATTTATTACATGGTTTTTTTAGGTAAATATGTGTTAATGGTCTTTCTGGAAAAATTGGTTTTCATGGTAGTAAGCAGCTGAGTTTATACTCGAAACTTCAATTTCCTTTCGTACGTTCAGACTTAACACCAACCTTGCATAGATAAGCAGGAACTTTCAATTACTTTTCTGCTCTTATTTCCTAAACTGCGCAACTGCAATTAAGAAAAGTACATTTTCCATACCAGTGCTCTTAATTCTCACCTAAGTTTTCTAATTTTAATGGCCTCGAGTTTATCGTATCTGTTCTTTTAATTTGTAATTCTTCCTTGGTAGAAATAGTTGGGAACATTTAAGTAGTTTTCGTTTAGTTTCAAAGAGATCTAAACCGCTTCTTTATTCTAGTGTTTAAAAATGGTCGATTTGGATAACAATAGCACTTAACACCAGCTACCTTGTACAGTTTAGTTGATTAAAAACTTGAGTACGCTAGAGGTCATGTCGCTTGTTGGCCTGACCTAGAATAAAGCTTAGTGTGGAACCAAAGATTGTCTTATCCTTGACGTTCGTATAAGCTCGCTCGAAGTAGATCTCCGTGTACCAGGGAATCGTGACGAGTTTCCGTTCTCGCTGTCAAGCGGTCTCTACCGAGGTATTTCCCCCAGTTGTTATTGTGCCGTCCGCGAAGATTCAGTTTCCCAGTTTGGGCGCGAAAACCTATCGTCACACTTGCCAGAAAGCTACAACACTAACCTTGATTCCCCTTTATAATCCGTCACTTCATTTTTGAAAGTCATCCAAAAAATCTTTAGGCAGTATTGTATTTTTGTCTTAGATGCCTTTTAAAACCTGCGGCTGTGACAAGTTTCTCTCAACTACACCTGTGACGCAATTCTTGCTCTAGGCGGTCACTTGACCCAATAAACCTACATTTTTTAGCTCTGTATACAAGATGATTAATTAAGAAAGCCACAAATTGTGAAAAAACTTTCTATAATTATACTCCTGACGAAGTTTATCGTAAGACTTGCCATAAAATTGCAGGGTGTTCATCTCAAAGTCTCATCCTGTGATATCGCCCGTCGAATCGCTTCGTCGCCATTATTGGAGACATTAACATCGTCGACACTAAGTTTGAGCGAATTTTGAAAGTCTTCAAAATTTTTCTTAAGAGCAGCAATTTCGGATTTGAGGATTTCATTTTCTCTTTTTAAGCAGGTTAACATTCGGATTAGGCATAGAGGGAAAAGTTTGCATTAACTTGGAGTGATCAAATATTCGTCCGCACTCCCCGCTAGTAAGTTCCGGAATCTAGCTTAATTGGCTGAGAGTAGTCAAAATAGTCAAACTAATTTAATTTTTTTAACCTTTTAAATAGTAAAACTTTTCAAAATAGTTAAATGGCACAAATTGCGCAATCATTCTTATCGGTCAAAGTCATTCAAATGATCATAGTGGCTTAAATGGTTCAACTAGACAAAATGCATAACCAACTTAAATGGTTCAGTGGGTTAAAAAGTAGAACTAGTGAAGTCCGTCAAACTGTACAAATTGGACAATCTATCTCAACTGGTTGAAGTGTTTCCAGTGGTCAAACTAGCTTGAATGATAAAAAACTAGCTTCATAAGTTTAACTGGTTAGATATTCAAACTAGCGCACACAGTATAACTACACTAATAATATACATGGAAAAATTACTCAGTTCTGATTGGTTAAGATAAATGCAGTTCTCAGGTAATTCAGTAAAGAAGAGAGTTAATTCAGTGCAAAGAAAGAAAGAAATCAGACAGTCTGATTGGTCAATAATCAAAGAAACTCACAGATAGCCAGTCAAATGCGAGCCTTGGATGTCGCAACAAAATTTGAAAATTGGAAAATTTGCGAGCGAAACAATGGCCGGCGTTTTAAGTAGGTTTTCCTTCGCCACCGCAGCTGAAAAACAGCTTTAACAATGAAAACACTGTAAAAGGCGCTGCTTTTTGGTTGTCAGTTTGGAAAAAGTGGTGTTTAGAGAAGGGAATAGCCGAGGAAATCGAAAATTACGAGCCGACCGGGCTTAACACTTTGCTCGAGCGATCCAACGCTGAAATTAAAAACAAACATGGTTAAACCTCGGAAACGACGATTCCATTTCATCAAAAGTGATTCGGACACAGACTGAACAATTCCTTGAACTGTTTAGCCGGACTTTGAACTTTTTTGCACCTTAAAGATGCGAAGATATCATTGCATATTATTGTTTTGATCGTACGCAGTTGTTTTGACCAAACGCACGGTTTGAATAAATTATTTTTTGCACTTGATGCGCGCGCTTTGCTTATGTTTAATTATGATAGACCATCTCGTATTTTTCCATGTATATTATTAACAGGTAATCACACGATTTTTCTCGTGCAATTTGGAATAAACAAGCACTTGTTAATTTTTTCAAAGACGACAAATTGCACCACACAATTTTGTTACTCTTTGAAAAAATTTACTCGTGCTTATTTATTCCAAATTGCACTCGAAATCATGTGATAACCTATAAAAAATGCACAATCTATCCAAATTGCTTCAAATGGTAATGCTAGCTTCAACCGAAAAAAAAAATGCAAAATTAGGTCAAGTGGTTCAAGTGCCTAAACAGTCACACTAGCGAGCATAGCTATATAGCAAAAATTGTATAATCTATCATAAATGGTTGAAGTAGTTCAAATGATAAATCTAGCTAGAATTTTCAACTTGACAAACGCATCAAGAGCTAAAATGGTTCAACGGGAAAAAAGGAATAATCAGCTTAAATGTTTCAGCCGCTTAAAAAGTCAAGCTAGGAAAGACCGTTACACTGAAAAAATTGCACAATCTATCCCAACTAGTTAAATTGGTTCAAATTGTCAAACAAGCTTGACTGGACAACTGGAAAAAAAGCATGATTGCAGTTTGCAGCATGATTGCAGTTTTTAGCTCAACTGTACAAACTCCTCAATTTGGCTTAATAGGTTGAAGTTATTAAATACTCAAACGAGGGAGAAGAGTGAAA